CTTGTGCTTTGGCTTCTCTACGCTCCAGTGCAATCTTCAGAGTTTCTTCTGACATCCATTTTGGTCTTTTCTTCCTCTTCTGTCTTTGTAATGATGTAACTGACCGAAGAGTGTAAACGGTCAGTTAACTATTATTGTTTGGAAAATATTTGTTGACTGCCCTAGCAACCTAAAATTCAGAGACAACTCAAATACCTCTTCAGGCCTAGATATTGTAAGTTAAATGATAATCATTTGTTTTTAGCTATTTCCTGCTCTCTAGTGGTAAGAAGATGCACTGCAATCCTGAGGCACATGGTTTAAATCTGCCAGCTACTCTCCAGGAGAAGGATGGGGAATCTCCCTCTGTGTGATTAACTGCCTCTGCAAACCACCTGGAGGGTCAGCTATAGGTTGGTTCCTACTTGATGGTATACAACAACAACAACACGACAACATTACATATTAACCCTTTAGCCTATGGGGAAAAACAGAAGATATAAATGTGTACGTGTGTGCATGCGTGTGTGCACTTTTGAATATATGCTTATGTGTCTGCATGCATGCATTTGTATGTGTGAGACAGTGTGTGTATGAAAGAGAGAGAAAGAGAATATAGAGAATATAAACTCTTTAAACATGAAGAGAAACAGAGCATGTGACTGTTCATTTAAGAAAGAGAGAGAGAGTATAAAATGTATCTGAGAAGAAAGAGGGAGTAGGGAGAAAGACAAGGAAATATTTAGAGAAATTCCTCAAAATCGTGTAAGTTGAAGCTAAAGCAATGAATTAAGTTTGTGATAATTAATAACTCATTCATAGTTTTGTCTTGGATCCATAAACTCTATAACCATATGATTTTGGATAGTTTTTATAGAAATGAAAGTATTTCCTTTCCTTCAGTAGTTTTCTACATAGATACTAGGTATTTTTAGTAATTTTATTTTCATTATAGTCTTATTATTAGAAACTTTCTCTTAGCTTAGGTTAAAATCAACTCCTCATAGCCTAGGTCTAACAAACCATAGTATGAATATGCAACTCAGATATACCAAGGAAACACAGAAGGAATGATTACAGAAAACAGAATGAAGATAGAGTTAAAGCTGCCACAAGGCTCCATACTTTGAGGAGGTAGATGGTGGAATTCATTTCATTCACATGCCTCTGGGCAGCAGCACCAGATGACACACTCAGCAGACCAGATTTGCTTTCTTCTATTGAGAGTGCTGCTAACCGCAGGTCATCTGTCAGATCCCAGACACACTTGTCACAGCCTGAAGGTACAAAGGGAAGGTCAGGTCTGTAAGTTCAAATCCTGAAAGCCATCAGTAAGCATGCTTCTTTAAATGAATGTGCATTTCCTTGGTTAATATTATTTTTGTTTTTGTCTCCTGCGGATCTTGGGTCTTAGAACTAGTTCTTATCCTTAAAGATAAAGCAGAGCCTGAGATGAGCCAAACTGTACATTAGGTGCCATGTTGGCTTAGGACATAATATAAAACAAGACTTGAACACAGAATGTAAGTTTACATGAACAAAAATAAGCACTGTATTGAATTAAGAAAGGTGGGTAAAAGGGAAGCTCTGTCTACTTTTTCTTTTTTGTGTATTTTAGGAAAATGTGTTTTAAACTACACATAACAAACTAGAGTGCAATTCAGTCACATTAATTACAATCACTATGTCATACAACCAACTATCCACTTTAACCATGGGAAGCCACTTTGGGATGCCTCTATTCATTTGAGGTTCTGACCTTTGATTGCTATCTCCCTTTCCTAAGTCAGTATTCAGGTGTTAGCACTGAACCTACACCTCAAACTGTCTTCTTCTCTAGAAAATGGATAAATGCAGATGAAAGAGTTAATGGTTGTTAATATGTTAATTTGTTACTTGATGTTTAAGATGGTCCTAAGCACTCTCTCAATGTCAAGAAGACAGAGTCTCAGCACTGGACCAATTGGCAGCATCAGGATGGATGGTGAAGAGATTGAGATTGTTCACAGCTTTAGTTTGCTTGGGTCCACAGTCAACACTCTTGGCACCAGTAGCCAGGAAATTAAAAGGCGCATTGCCATGGGAAAGTCTGCTGTTAGGGACCTCTCCCAAGTACTGAAGAGCAATGGTGTCTCTCTGGAGACTAAGGTGCGTCTGATACAGACCGTGGTCTTTGCTATCACTTGTTATGCATCAGAGAGTTGGACAGTGACTAAGGAGAATAGAAGGAGAATGGATGCCTTTGAGCTGTGGTGCTGGAGAAGAGTATTGAGAATACCATGGACTGCTAGGAAAACAAACATTCATCCTGGAAAGGGTTAAACCTGGCTGCTCCTTGGAGACAAGGATTCTAAGGTTCCGTCTAACATTCTTTGGACATGTTGCAAGCAGGGACAGGTCCTTGGAGAGGGACATCATGCTTGGTAGGGTGGAGGGACAACGCAGGAGGGGAAGGCCCCCATGAGGTGGATTGATTCAGTGACTGGGATAATTGGTATGGGAGTGTCAGAGACAGTGCAATTGGCACAGGACAGAGCAGAGTTTAGGGCTGTTGTACATAGGGTTTCTATGAGTCACAAGAAACTTAACGGCACTTAACAACAACAACAGGCACTCTCTCAAATGGATGACTCTTCGGCTGGAGGCCAACACATGGCTGATAGGGGAAATACTTAGCACCCGATATGTGCTTTGGTGTTCTTAAAATGATCATGCCTAGGCGGCCACTCCTTCCACCAGTATGCAAAGTGTGTCCTGCTTGTGCCTCTGATGCTGTGTTACCTTCTTAAAAAGACATTTCGCTTGTGTAGATAATATTGATTTCTTGTGTCCAGTGAAACTGGAGTCATGAATTTTTTTGTTGTTGTTTTCAGGAGGAGGTTCCTAATGTTAAAACAATATCTAAACTGAAATTTCCTTTTTTATTTAATAGTTCATGATTTGATTATCAAGAATGGCAGAGAAATCTAGGAAAGAAAGATGGTAGCTTCAATTCAGAAGGCCTAAATATTTTTATTTTGAGTCCTACTACAGAGTTGTTGAAATTTGGGAATTGTTGTTTTCTTTCTTATTATCTCTGCTCCCTGAGTGTTTGAGAGCACTGTCTACGTGTCGTGTTACCCAGGATTTTTCAGGTAATACAGAAAAAGAAGCTAATATGAGATGTGTCTTTGGGAATTATGTTTCTAACCTGCTTTTGCTTACCAAATATGACATTGAGTTTTAAGACCTGACAAAATGACTTTTCTAAATCAGAGCTATTTCAGTGTAGACCACCTCTTTGCCAATTGGTACCAGGTAAACCATCAAGTGTCTCTTGTTCAAGGTCTCCTTACTTGAGGCGCAGACATGGTTAACACCGGGGCTGTATCACATAGCGCTCCCTAATCCCACACCTGCAGCATATTAGAGAAAGTGGGGTTAGTCAATCATGTACTGTTATTTTTACTTATGACTGGGCAGTCCATGCCTGTAGGGGGTTCAAAACTTTCTTCCAAGCATTCTCCAGTTACACTGTCACAAGGGCCTCCTCCGCAGTTGCATACTGTGGGAAACAAAAACAAGAAATTAGAGACTCATTTCATAAAGCTTGAAAGACAGCAATGTTTTCATGGTTTCTAGAAATTCTGGTTATCAGTGTATAATTTTTGAATTGAGATTAGACATATTCTTTCTTAAAATTTGATAAAATCTATCATATAGAGGTTATGTCCCTACCCAATTAGGCTCCAGTACAGGTAATTCTACTAATTCCACATGCTCTGTGAGGGATAATTCTGATAATCCCAAATGCTTTATGGGAGGAAAGGTTAGAAAATGCAGACAAAAGGAACAGAAACCCAGGATGGAAATGAGGAGAGTGCCAGCACATTGTGGGCAATGTACCTAACAGTCCTTTGTCTATATCTAGCCTTCCTGCCTTCTCCTCATTGCTTTGAGGCAAGTGTCTTTTTGATCTCATACAATTGATTTTTTCCTAAGGAACACTTTTCTCTCAGGTGTTATTGTCTATTTTATGGGGCTGTTTATTGTTTCGCTTCCTACAATGGCTTCTGTTCTAGTCCAAAGGGCATTTTAGAGCAATCGTCTTGGGGGATGGGTTGTCTAGTCTCCAAGAGACCATTAGATCTGGTCTTTTGGGGACCATTATGGTTTTGCTCTACATTTTCCTCCCATTCTGTCTGAGACACTGTGTTACAGCTTTATAGCTTCTAACATTAACTTCTAAGAGTGATTTACATACTTGCAGTTTAAACATATGTCTAGTAAATGTTTTGAGAAAAGAGACATCAGTGTTTAACACCACGACTCTGCCAGCACTCTTTCTGATCAATTTTTCTTTCAGCTTTAACCGGATACAGAATACTCTCATCTTGCTGCCATTCTTATTGTTAATCCTCTGTGCATAGTTTTTCATAGGCATGTTTACTTTTATTGTGACTTTGGCAGATCAAACACACTTCCTTTTCAATTTTAAGCTCCTGACTTAATATCTCTTCAGAGACAATCGATATTAGAGGCAGAATTTACCACACGAGCAAGCTATTCCTTCCTTTCTCTGTTCCTCCTCTAAGTCACATAAGAGCAAGATATAATCTTTGCCTTCTTATATTCACCGAAGAAAAGAACTTAAGTTGGCCTCTGAAGATCTTCACCATTGCTGGTGAACAAATTGTGGAAACCATGATTAAAATGTGTACATTTCAGTTAAAATCTAACCAGGAATATTTCCTATATTATTCTTTAAATCTTTCCTTGGATAATTTGAAATAAGGGAAGCTGATCAAATGTTTTCTTTAATTAGTTAATCCATTTTACCTAAATGCCAACTTTATCAAGCATAAATCAGAAAAAAGGACTTAGCATGCAGGAGAAGAAAACATTTAGGTGAATTTCATTCAATCATCTAGTAAAATAGAGGCAATCCATGAAAGTTGGTTTCTTGGATAATAATTGAGAAGACAAATTGAAATGGTGGGAGTTAATTTGTACTAGTGCCTCAGGGCTCAGCCTAACAAGAGCAGAAATAGTTTTGTATTCTTGTTATGTGCTAAGGAGTCATAACTGACTCAGAATGTCCCCTCCAATGGGCTTTCAGAGGCTGCAAATAACACAAGAGGACACTGCCCATCTTTTCTCCCAAGGAAAAAGCTTTTGGTTCAAACTACTTGTCTTTGGGCTGGCCGTACAACTCTTTACTCACTAGACCACCAGAGCTCCCTAATTTTTCTGGTAGCCTTCATAAAAATATTTATTCTTCATCAATTTGCAATACACATTTCTAAACATATTTTTCTGGAAAAGCAAGGTGGCACCAGCAATATGTCTCCAAGAGAAATTCTTTATCTGCATTCAGTATTGATGAGTGTTGGCGCAGTCATGTACATGCTGGCCAGGCAGTGAGATCAGGGTTTATCACATCGTACCTGCACAGTTCTTGGCTATCCTGGCGTCCCCATAGTAGCCAGGTGCACAGCGTTCACAATGGAATCCAGTGGTATTGCGTAAGCAGTTCCTACACTGGCCAGTGACTTCATCACAATCTTCAAAGATCAGATTGGGATCTGAGTTCCCACTGCAATCACATTTCTTACAGGTGCTTCCAATCAGTAAGGGGTTTCCATAGTAACCCGGAGCACATCTGAAGGGGAATCACACGGTAAAAATTTAGGATTCACAGTTTTCCTTCCTTTGTATCTTCTTTGCCTCCTAGAAGAAAGCTACGATGAATATTTGTGGATTTTTCTCCCCAAATCCATTCCCACACTCCCATCTGCTCAGAAGACTTGACCGTTGTTGTATAATCTCAAGTCAGAACCAACCCATAGTTGACTTTCTAGTGGGTTTTCAGAGGTAGTAAATCACACAGGAGAAGACTGTCCATCCTCCTGCAGAGCAGTTGGTGGATTCGAACCATGTTCCTTTGGGTTGGCAGTACAGTACCTTACTGTTAAGTCACAAGAGCCCCCTGTGGATTAGAATTCATTTTGCAGGAACCACTCATAGTATTTGAGGTCATTCAGTTTGGGCAGCTTCCAGATGCAAAACTGGATTTAAATTAGTATACGGACCAGTAATTCTGGTCATTCTAATGACTGGTGTGCATGGCTGGCACATGATTTGGTGGGGCCAGTATATTACAATGTACTTAAAGAAAAGCACAATAGGACACAGCTAAGAATTCTCCTGGACAAAATGTTAATAACATCTCCGTGGAGAAATATTGGTTTCTATCATTATCCACTTTGTCACAGTGAATTGTTCTAATAACCCAAGTCTGAGCCAGTCAATGGCTGAGAATCTTCTGGCCAAAAGGAATGGACTCTGGAAGGATTCAGTTGGAACATGGCTCAGGGCTCTTGTCTAAGGAGGTGGGAAGTCATTCTTTCCATTTGCATGTGAGGGAAGAGGCATGGAACACTCTCAGCTGCTGGCAGCCATCATATGACTGAATGAGGCCAGCCTGGACATCAAGTACAGGACAGAGAAATAGAACTGCAGCCCAGATTGCTATCCTTCTGGACAACTGAGATGTGTGAGCCTACAGAGGCCAGGTACCTAACTGTACTTGTGGTGTGAGCCATAGCTGCTGGTTATGCCAGCTGGGCCCTGAACAGGAGAATCTGCCAAGTGGGAGAGTGGGGATTGAATTCCATCCAGCCTTTGCTCAGTTTGCCAAGCTGTGAATTCTGGGTATGGCTGCCTCTGCCAGGGGGAAGAAATGCCTTTTTCAACTTTTTATCATCATGCCCTGCATGCCGGCAGAGGTCCTGGTGCGTGGGACTTGAGGCCTCAGCTAAATTCATCCTTGCCAGACTGAGCCTTGAGGGAACGAAGGGTGTGTGTTGCCAGATTTTCTGTTTTTAATGGAAAAAGTAAACGTTGGGTTTTTATGTGAAATCTCAATTTTTAAAGTTGGCTCATGCTGTGTAAGACTGCTATAGAGGCCAATCTATACACATGTGCAGTTTGTGGGTTCTCTTCTGCTGTGGATCCTAAACCTTTGTAGAAGATTGGCTCACTGGGGCCAGAGGTGCTATGGGTGTGGCTGGGAAGACCTTGTGGCCAAGAAAGAACTGGATAAAGGTCAGGAAGAGCAGTCAGTTCTCATGTGAGAAAGGAACATTTCCCAGTGTGATGGAAACGGAGGTGAAGGAAGTCTGTTCTGGGGTCAGAGTGCAGCATGGACTACAGGCTGTAACCCTGAGACATGGGTGGGGTGCAGAAGACCTGGACATGCACTGGGGAGTGGAAAGAGAAGGAAACCAGAAAGACTCGGCCAGTAATAATATGAAGAGTACATTTTTTTTAAAAAAAATGTTTCCACTCAGAGGATCATGACTCAGACTATTGGAAAGATGGAGAAATTAAAGAAATCATACTCATAGCCTAACTAAGACACTCAAGCCAAATCACTGTTAACTAGATCACGTGTGTATGTTATGGCAGTCTTTACGACTCTGTTTCTTTTTTGTGTGTGTAGTTGTGATGATGACGTTATGTAGATTTTTAGGCTTCTTTTTTGCATTGTCTCTCATAACTGCATACACTTTCACATAGGTGAGATTATTTAATGAGTGTACACACGAAAGAGTGGGGTGGGCCATGTCAGCCTGGCTCTCTGAGGCTAAGGGGCTTCTTTGGTTTTTTAGGGTCATGTAAGTAGGCTGTCATAGCACTTAGACTTCTCTCCCTGAGCTGTTCCCTTTGCTCCTCCCTGGACCACACTGATACTGCTGTAAATGAATGAGTGGATTCATCCAACAGAAGGATAATTCATGTCCATTTTATGTACAGGATGGAGGGAGAGATAGGAAGAGGAAAAACACATAGTTCATGCTCTGCAACAACAGGAAATGAATCAAACATAATCACACATAATATTGTGGACTCCAGGAATAGAGAGCTAGGAAAAGATTAGAATGAATATAAATTCTCTGTAACTCACAAAGAGTCATGCCAAGAGGAAATGTTTAATGAGTTTTGTCATTCACAAATTTCCGTATCTTTATGCTTCAGATATATAGGCTCTCTGGTCTGTAGGCCAACATAAATGATTCCTCTTTGGGACACATATATGGACAGAGTATTTTTGTGTTGTTTTGGGGTTTTTTTTTTATTTTTTTCTCTCTAGTGTTGTAGTATCAACAATCTGCGTTATGCAGATGACACAACTCTGCTCACTGAAACTGAGGAGGATCTCATGCACTTACTGCAGGGGGTCAAGGACTGAAGCCTTCAAAATGGACAGAGGCTCAATGTCAAGAAGACAAAAATTCTCACCACTGGACCAATCGGTAGCATCAGGATGGATGGTGAAGAGATTGAGATTGTTCACAGCTTCAGTTTGCTCGGCTCCACGGTCAACACTCTTGGCACCAGTAGCCAGGAAATCAAAAAACGTATTGCAATGGGAAAGTCTGCGGTTAGGGACCTCTCTAAAGTACTCAAGAGCAACGGTGTCTCTCTAGAGACTAAGGTGCGCCTGATACAGGCCATGGTTTTTGCAATCACTTGTTATGCATCAGAGAGTTGGACAATGACTAGGGAGGATAGAAGGAGAATTGACGCCTTTGAGCTGTGGTGCTGGAGAAGAGTATTGAATGTACCATGGACTGCCAAGAAAACAAACAGATTCATCCTAGAAAGGGTTAAACCAGGCTACTCCTTGGAGGCAAGGATTCTGGGGCTTCATCTGACATACTTTGGACATGTTGTAAGGAGAGACAGATTTTAGAGAGGGACATCATGCTGGGTAGAGTGGAGGGACAGCGCAGGAGGGGAAGACCCTCTACGAGGTGGATTGATTCAGTGACTGGGGTAATCGGGATGGGTGTTTCAGAGGCAATGAGATTGGCACAGGATAGAGCAGGTTTTAGGGCTGTTGTACATAGGGTCACTATGAGTCACAAACTACTCAACGGCACATAACAACAACAACAAGTGTTCATCAGAGAACTTTGGGGCCCATCCAAACAGAACTCACACCTGCCGCCTCTGTATGTATCTGGTTCAGGGGGTTGATGTTGTTGTTAGGTGCCATCTATTCAGTTAGGACCTCTACTGACCCTGTGAACAACAATCTGAATCTTGCCCAATCCTGTGGCATCCTCATGATCTCGGTCATGCTTTCTCAAAATCACAGACGCTTTCCCCAATAAAGTCACTTTTCTCACTCTGTTTATTTCACATTTGGTTTATACAGGTTATTTTCTAGTCTACCACTATTTTATGTCAGAATCTTAATCAAAATGAGAAACGACTTTGAATCATTCTGTATTTCAAGGACATCTTTTGGTGATAGGTTCCAAGGCAACTCTGGAATCAGTCTACACATCAGACCCTATAGATTTTGCAGCCTAGGTACACAAAGGTTTAAATACAGCCATCTAAAACCCTTTTCTTTTACAGAGGAGGAAACTAGAGTTCAGAGGAGCTAAATGATTTGCTCAGTGCTGCTTGGCTCACCTCTATTGTGATACTCTTAAGTTTAGTATTCTTTCTACTCCTTTAGTCTCTCATTAATGAATTTACAATTAAGTAATCAATTAATGGCTTTAAAAGGTAAATAATAAATACTCTCTATGTGCCGAAGTCCTGACTTCAAAAGTTTATAACACAGGATATAAAAGGACAGTGATTGGATTTAGATAGAGCACTAGAGCCCTATTCCCCTGGAGCCTGGTCTTATTTTCCTTCCTTCATAGTCCCATTTCTAGTTATACTGATAACTTATTTCATTTAGGGAAAACAGAATTGACAAATTCATAGTGGAAAAAACCCCCAATAAACTGTGGCACATGACCTTTCTCATTTTAATGATGTTTTTCAGCAAAACAGGGACATAACCCCCTCCCCACATCATACAACTGACCTTTGATATATAAATTATAAGAATCACCTGGGGTTCTTGTTAAACAATACATTCTGATTCTGGAGTGGAAAAAACATTCTGTATGTCTGGGGTGGAAATGAAGATTCTCAGCAGAGGATCAAATTGGGATTTTGAAGTCCAGGCACAGAAACACCTAGAATGTACTTGGCTTGTTTAGTTTTCATTTTTTGTTTGAAATAGATATCCACACAAATCAGGTTCCTGCTTTGAAGTTTCCATGTTGAGGTCCAATTTCATAAATACATTCAAAAGATGGATTAGAGAAAGTTTAACTCTGACAATTGAATAACTTGGTTGTTAAATTCAGAACAGAGCCTCACGCTTGGTGGATTCTCAGGGTCAAGTACAAGGGTGAAGCACTGTAGCCACCGCCTCTTGGATGACCCTATCTCTCCGTGTGAAAAGGACTACTCCTTCCACTGCATTTCTCTTGTTGCTCTTCTATTTAGAACAACAACAAAAACCTAATAGCCGTGGAATTGATTCTGACTTATAGTGTGCCAACGTAGAACAATGCTCTATAAGGTTTTTAATGACTAATTTTGGGGAACTAGATGTCTAGGCCTTTCTCCCAAGATGCCTCCTGTAGACTAAAACCACTCACCTTTAACGTAGCAGCTAAACATGATAAATTTGTACTACTCAGCGTCTCCTTCATTCCACTAGCTTGGAGAGTTCCTTGACAACCAAGGACCACATCTTAGATATATTTGTATCCTGATCCCCTCTACCAAACTACATGTGGAGAAGGCTCAATGAGGTCATTTACATTTTGAAGAAGAGTTCCCTAGATTCCAAAATGAATTTGTAATGAAAAAGTGCTCAAGATATATACTCTTTTAAAGTATTAGAAAGGTTGGATAAACAAGGATAAGGAGGAGAGAACATTGCTCCAAGTGAATCTCCCTGCACACAGGAGAGACAAAGGCTTTAGAAGGAAGTCTTACTCCAGTGTTCTTTGTAGATGTTGCCTGCTCTCTGAGGGAATCTGGCAGTAGATTAATATTTTTCTCTTCAATACCAGAGGCTCATCTAATATATTCATTGTCAAGGTTTAATAAAAGAAAATATTTTAGAAGGCATTTGGGAAAAGCATAGGAAGCAGCCCTAGCGATCTATTTCTTAAATAACAGGCTTTGAAAGCCCTATGAACACTAGAGGAATGAGGATAGTTAGAGTAGGGTAGTGGTAGAGCCCAGATTAGAAGTCAGTTGAAATGAGGAAAAACAATAACAAACATCATTTAATAATTTGAACATGGCATGCATATACTTGAATGTTGGAAAACTGGAAATTGTTAAAAATGAAATGTCTTGTATGAACAACACACTAGGCATTAGTGAGAGGAGATGGGCCAGCGTTGGACACTTTGAATCAGATAATTATACGGCATACTATGCAGGAAATGAAAAATAGAAGAATGGTGTTGCAATCATAGTAAAAAAGCCAGCTTCAGGTTCTTTCCTGAAATACAGTGTTGTGGGAGACAGGACAATACTCATACATACAAGTAAGACCCGTTAATATGACTATTAAACTTATCTGTACCTCAGGACTATTCTTCATGGCTGAGCCAGCCCATGGAGGCTGAGATGACTTGACTTCTTGGGAGGTCTAGCATTTGTTCAGCAGGACCTTAATCAAAACCATTAACTCTATTTTCAGTGGACTTCCCACACTCATTGGCTAGTAACACTGCTCAATCATTATCAGGCAGAAATGAGCTTAACCTCACACATAAAGGAGAAAAAGCTCCCTGACTGATTAACAATCTTCTCAAACACCCACTGAGCCAAGTAAATCAGGTGCCTCCTGTTTTTGAGTCCTCCCATATGGAAATGTAGAATGGGTGTGTCCCTAACATTGGTCAATTGGTTACCCCTCCTAGTGGATACAATACATGTGGGCCCTCACCTCTTCTCCTGCTTTCCATCGGTCTTACAGGAAATAAAAAACCCCACAAACCCTTAGTAAAAAGTTATGTAGTAAATGAATTAGTCATATTTTTACACATGTATCAATCATAGTTACAATGATCTCCAATTGTCAGTTGTTGTATGTTGCCATGACACTGGAAAGCATGTCACCAGTATTTCAAATACAAACAGGGTAATCCTTGGTGGTTAGGTCTCAATAGAATTAACTTCTAAAAATTAGAACCTTGTGGAACCAGAAAAGAATGCTGTTCAACTCACTTGGTTTGGACACACATCATCAGAGAGGATCAATCTTAGGAGAAGGACAATATATTTGTTGAAGTAAAAGGCTAACTAATGAAAGCGCTCCTCAGAAGCTGCAATGATGGGCTTGGGCATGCTGACAAGACTGAGGCTTATGTAAGACTGAGCAACACTCTGTTATGTTGTACATAAGGTCACCGTAAGTTAGTTGATTCTATAGTAGCTATCAATCTGCTTCTCCAAGTGTAGAGATTTTTCTCTGCACCAGAGGGTTTAAAAGCTTTCAAAGTGTTTCAGAACTTCTCTTTTGAGAGATGGAAGATATTTTTGTTAGAAGCAAGATTAAGTGTAAGATTTATATGGTAAGCCTGGGCTGAATTTCAGAGGCATCTTCAGGTGACACTGTGAACACATTATTTCTTAGGCAAGCACACTGCCAATGTTTGACTTGTTTTTAATGAGTATCTCCTGGCCCTTCCCTCCATATCTTTAAGGCACTACATGGTTTAGTTACCTAATTGCAATGTGTGGCCAATGTTAATGATGTTTCTGTTCAAAATGAGAATACTTTTCCACGAGATCCTTAGTGAAATCTGCTTTAACGTCCAAAGCTGAGAGTCACTGACAAAGTGAAGAGAAAGGGAAATATCATCATCCAGTAGGAAGACTCACATCCTTTGGGGCCAAGGTCTCCCCCATATGAGCAAAGCCACAACAACGGAAAAGGATTATTAAGAGTAAGTACCAAACTGGGATTCAGAAACCTCAAATGCTTGTGGAATTTGGTTACTTCACAGGAAGACCCTCAACAAGATAGAGTGGTGCAGTGACCACAGCAGTGGGCTCAATTATGTTAGAGATGCGGAGGATGGCACAGGATAGGACAGGGTCCAGATTTGTTGTTCATAGGGTCACTATCAGTTGTACCCAACTCTATGGCACATACAGCAACAAAATTAACCAAAGTACATGTCTTGCCTCATTAACTGAGGAAGGTTTACACTTAGTTATGCAAACAGTAACTGTAGTACCTGTTCTCCACAGTGGATAGAGAGCAGAATGCTATTAAGTCTGTCTATAGAATCTTATAAAAAATGTACATACTCAGTTTCCTTGTTCTTCTGATTTCTTAATGCTAGTCTATGGGTCTGTGTTGGACTTCAGGGAGCATATTATACTTTATTTTTGGGGTAAATGGCTTGGGGAAAATTCCTCAGGGAATTTTGAAATTTGGTCCCCCAACTTCTCAAATGAAGCACCCACTTTCACGGCTACTGAATGGGAGTGTGGCAGAGTGCAAGAAACAGAAAGCTTCCAAGAAACAGAAAGCTTCCTTTCTCCTCACGTACAAAAAGAATCTTATTAGCTTACCTTTCACAGTTGGGTCCAGCATAGTTTTCTTTACAAATACACCGAACAGCTCCATTTTTCCTGTAGCAGGACTCTGCAAAACTAGAATTGCAACAGAATATTAGGAATCAGTTTCTTACACTGCTGCAGACACTGCCTGAGAGAATAAAAACTAGGACAGAGTGGGAAAAAGTCATGAAAATAATGGTACAGTAGGGGAAAAAATTAAAACCCCACAAAGCTACGCTAATTTCTGAGGCAAGGGAAATGGAATATTGCTCCCCACATGGTCGGAAAAGTCTGTATCCTCAAATGAGTTCACATTATGTAAGGGGGGATGTGAAAAATTTTAAAAGCTTAAAATGAGTTTTGGCTCAGAAACTACACAGCCTGTGGAGGACGACCCGCTGGTCTCGCGTTCTGCACGAATCAGCAAGTCTCCTCTAATGGTCTTTGGAGGAAAGCAAATGGATGTGTTTGTTTTGTTTGAAGACATTTATAAAATCAGTCAGAAAACTATATGTACTTCTCTGTGAAACACAATATCCACAATTTATTTTCTCTAACAGTTTGGGGAAAACATTCCAACAAAACTACATTTCTTTGACCTTTTACCCTTTATTTCACTTGCTCTTATGCCCTAGCCGACTTAAAGAAATACTGTCTCAGAGCCCAGAACACAATCGGATCCCACTCATCTTTTCTTTGAAGGTGTTCCATCCAGCAGCCCTCCCACGGCTTGAAGAGCCCAAATATTTGCTGGTATCTGAGTTGTTTGCCTTTAGCTGATGTCCTGCTATTTTAAACAGATGACATTTTCCTTGATTGGAGAGATTACTATAGCTACTAGTAGACATGGAGGATGTCTGGCCAACCCCAAAATAAATAAATCAATCCTGTGTGAGGGGTGCCTCGGAACAAGTGTGCACTCACTAGTATCGGTGCTGGAAGCCTCAGAGGCAATACTAGTGAGTGTTCTCTTTTGTTTTGCATCTACACTGATAGTTTGTGTTTTTCTTATCTTTTTCTGTCTTTGGCGAGGGAAATGAAAACACTGTGTTTCTCTCCGCTCACTCCAACCAGTGTGGCGCCTGCTCCAAGTGGAAGGGAGCTTTCTGCTATTGGGAAACCCTTACGGAACCTGGGAAAACAGACTCAGCATTTTGATTGTTTAACTTTGTAAAAGCATCACTTCCTTTAATGATGTGGCCACTGTAACAGAAAAAAGCCAGCATTCCATTTCCCGGGTCTGTAGACTCAACTAGTGTAGTTTTCAAAGTGGAGTTCAGACCCTTAACAGGTCTCTTTCTAGCCTCTTGCCACTTTGGTTTCTATAGAAATTAACAACACATTTTTTTTTTCTTTTTTAAGTAAAAAGAGGCATATAACAACAGAAAGAGGAAATGCCATACTTAACTTTTAAGGAAATATTTGATTAGTATTAAAGATTGATTAAATATCCCAGATCAAAGATCTTGTCATACTAGAGAAAATAGCAGGTATTTCATAATTTTACGAACCCTTCCCCACTCCCACCTAATGCTGTTTTGTCATGAACAGTGTTTTCTCTTTCTTTTTTTTAACACGTAGAATTGGTTTTATAGCCTCTTGTCTGCCCTGTAGAAAGCTACAGTGGCTTAGTGATAAGGAACTGCACTGCAGACTCACAGATGGGTGGGCTCATATCAGGAGAAAGATGGGAAATGCCTTCCTGTGTAATTTAAAGCATCTGATAAGCTGCTGGAAGATCAGCTAAGAGACAGTTCTGATTTGATGGCAAAGAGAGAGTCTGCACTGTGGAGAATTCACCTTTCTTATCTGTTACTATGGACCTTACTGTAGAGCACATTTCCTAAATCCTTCAGCCACTCCTTTGAATCAAAGTTAGCTTCACATTTCCAGCCTTTCTTCACAGGGTCTCTGAGGTTGTATATCTTCGCATGAGAATGCTCATCTTTCTTCCATGCAGTGGCTGGTGGATTTGAACAGCTGATCTTCCAGTTAGCAGCCCTGTAGGCTATTCACTATGTCAGCAGGGTTCTCTACCAACTTGATCTAGCAAAGATCTTAATTACTATCTTAATGAAGATAGGAGTTTTTGATTGATTGTTTACTGCTGTTTCCCCAATACTTTGCTTTGTCTTCTCGAGTTTTCCTTTGAAATTTATTTAAAATTAAAAATTATATCTTAATTGTGCTCATGTGAAACCTATACCTAGACAAGAGGTTTTTGTGTGGTTATAGCAAGGGAACACTATATGGTTTCAATTAAGAAGTAAGTACATCAGGGTTGTATTCTCTTTCCATACCTATTCAATTTGTATGCTGAGCAAAGTATTCAAGAAATGGAATATATAAAGAATGTGGTATCAAGATTGGAGGAAGACTCATCAAAAACCTGCATTATGCAAATGACATGATCTTGCTTTCTGAAAGTGAGGAGAACTTGAAGCACTTGTTGCAGAATATCAAAGAAAATAGCCTTCAATATAGATTTCATCTCAATGTCAAGACAACAAAAATCTCATGGATGGCCAAAAGAATAACCAAACATGTCTAGGAGAAAGTGCAGCCAGAGTGCTCTTTAGAGGCAAAGATGATGAGGCTTTGCCTCACTTACTTCAGGCATGTTGCTAGGAGGGGTTATTCCTTGGAGAGGGACATGATGGTTGGGAAAGAAGAGGGTGGTGTAGGACAGGAAGACCCTTAACCAGGTAGATTAACATGGTGACTTCAGCAACGGTCTCTAGTGTGTCAGAAAGTGTGAGGATGGCACAAGATAGGACAAGATTCAAATTTGTTGTTCATAGAGTCACTATGGCTCATACTTGACGGTACCTAACAACAACAACAACATGTCACCAATAACTAGTATATGGCATATAATAAGTGCTCAGCAAATACTATTGAATGAATGTAGATGAGTTGTCTCAGTCCATGGGGAATGAGGTTCCAAATGCCTCTTATCTCAAAACAGAGTGTTGAGTAATGTAAATAATACAGTTCTGTCATGTGAATGGTGTAGTAAGATTGATGATGGGCAATACAATTAGGAGGAGTCATCTGATCCGATTTCCCTTTCTAATTCATCTGTTACTATCCAAAGAAACTTTCTGTAACTTAAAACTTATATTTTCTGAGTGGATATAATACAACATTTTCATTTATATAGAGAATGAGGAACACCTCTTTTTACAAGGAAGCTAAGTACTTGGCACATGGGAAACGAAGTCTATCCTTAGATTTTTGATAAACTGTTACTAAAATAGCTTGAGGAACCTCTGGTGGGGAGTTGTGCTATTAACTCAAAGGTGGTGTCTTTCTTGTGGCTGGAATCCACCAGCAGCTCCTCAGGTGGGCAGCCTCCTCCAGTGCGATGTACGGCCTCTGATGCTATGGCAATGAGGCTGAGTTTTTGTTTTTAAAAAGCAGCAGTGACGTCTACTTTCTAAACAACATGCCTCTGGAAACTCTATAAACTTTGATAAATGTCAATAGTTATGGAAAGGCTTCAGGCCTTTTGTTCATAGGGTTGCTATGAGTCATGCTCGACTTGATGGCAATCAACAACAACAACAACAACAATCCCTCTTTTACTGTCATAATAGCCAACCTTCCATTGGATTTCTGAGAGTGTCAATCTCATGGGAGGAGACTGTCCATCCTTCTTTTATTGGAACTACTGACAGATTTAAACCATGAGAAAAAAGTGACTTTTGGGTTAGTAACACAAGTATAAACAAGGCAGTTCTGGTGCCTTAGTGATACGGAGTTGCACTGCCAACCCATTAGCATGCAGTTCAAATCCACCAGATGTTTCATGGGAGAAAGAAGAGAAATCTTCCATGGAAGAAAGGACAAATGTTGGAAGTTCAGACTTACCAGATGCTTTGCAGAATAGTCTGCTTCCAAAAAAGTTATAATCTTAGAAACCACATAAAGCAGTTCTTCCTTGTCCTGTTCTGTCACTACAAGTAGTAACTGACATGATGGGAATTAATTTAGTAGTTTGCTTCACTGTCTTCACCAACCATGGTCCTTTCAAGGCCAGGGAAACCAGTGAAAACCTGCTGGAGGGCCAGCTATGAGTCTATTCTGAATTAATGGTACATGACAACAACAAAAATTTAAATATATTTAATAAAATATCCACCATCATGCAAGAGGCATGCTAAATATCTCATCAGACACACTAAAGACTAATATTTCAGAACAGAATACTAATGAACAATTAAGGGATACATCTAGATGAGGCAAAGTGAGCTTGTAAATCATGACACACTTGACTGAAAAAGAACAGACTATTTAATGTTCACATTTTCTGTTCTCACTCTCTCTCCCATCCATTTTGCACACATTATTAATGCTATCAGACATGAAAAATTGCAAAGCAAATGCTGAGGCAGTTTAATAACCTCTAAATAGAAGTGAGGGTGTTAAATGTCTACCTTCTTCACTGATGTTGGACTTGCCAAAGATCTGAGCTATTAGTTAAAATGTTATTTGATACTGATTTTCCATTAAGAAAAAAGGTTGATGAAATTCTGGTTGTCTATTCTTTTTATGAGGGGGTGTGTGTGTGTATGTTCAGAAGAGAAGCAATACTTTTCATAATTTTATGTTATTCAATGAAATCTTTACTACATCTGTGGGAAATATAAATATTACACCCATGGACCTAGAACAATGTATGACACAAAGACAGCATAATACGTATTATAAAAAAAATACATGCATGTCTTCAATAGAGATAGCTTCTACCTAACACCTTGGTGGATGCAAGGTACCAACCCAAATCTCCCACTCTTAGTTTACTCCTCACAGCCTTGATCAAGATCAAGGTCAAGATCAAGATCAAGATCACTAAAGATAAAGCTGAGAATAAGAGTAGATAAAGGAATCACTCTAAACTTGGTCTTCCTATTCCCCAGAATACAAAACAGAGGCATCACATGTGTCAGGATGAAAGGGTGCTCCATTGTGTTTTCATGGTTGACTTCCAGGAAATCAATTGTTAGGCCTTTCTTTCAAGGTGGCTCTCAGTGGATCGGAATCTTTAATGTTTGGGTTAGCAAACAAGTCTGTTAGAACGACATAGAGACTCAGTTCTTTCCACTTTGCCATTTTTAATTTTAAACCTGTCATCTTGAAGCACCATAAAATGGCCAGTCATACCTTTCCTGCCAGACTTGTGCACAAGTTTATACACATCATATGCTTGAATGAATTCCATTATTTCTATTTAGATGTTGGTCTGTTCTTTTTAACTTTTCATGCACGTCAAAACACAGCCAGGAGTAAGAATTAGGTTTCCTGGAAATCTTGTATGACCTGGTTAGCCTAAAATATGAATCTATGTTTTAATTCTGAATAAAAAACTTACTTGGCAGCCATTTACAGGGAAAGTCTACTCTGTGAGAATCAGAAGAAATAATTCCACTGAAAACATTATAACAAATCTGGTGGCAATACAAGGATCCCTAGGAGCACAATGTTGAAAAACCATTGGTTCTTTGCCAAAAAATTGAAAGTTCAAGCTCACCAGCTATTTTACAGAAGAGCAGATATGGTGGCCTACCTCCAATAAGATTGGAGCCTTAGTTCACCTTGGTCCTCTAGTATCACAACAAATAGGAATTGAAGTGATGGCAATGACTCTGTTTTTTTGCTTCATTGTCTTTACTGTTCACGGTCTTTGCAAGATCAGGGAAAGCTCAGAAAAGGGGAAAGAGCCTCACTTACAAAACTTGAAGGATTTCATTGAACTTATCATGCACCCTGGTTTAGTAGGAGCAGTCATTAGCTACTATATCACAAACGCTTATGGGTCTTAAATGAATATGTAAGCTACAGATCTTTTGTACACCTTTTGCAGTCTCATCTCGAGTATCTGTTTCGGCTGTTTTAAAAACCCGCTTAGAACTCTGCCTAGGCAAAGCAATTGTGCTGAAAAGCAGAAAAATCCAGAAAAGCCCCATTTCCTGAGGACTTACTTGGCCATGTAGGGCAGGGGACAGGGGCATGCCTGGCAGAATCGGGGCGCTCCCCTGATGGAATCTCCAATATAACCATTCAGACACCTTTCACAGTGCTCTCCTGTTGTGTTCCTCTGGCAGTTCTACGAGACAAAAGATAGGAACATTTAAAAGGATGCAATATCAGTTTCATAGACAACAAAGCCAGGGACTCAAAGTAAAAAGGGCATCAGATCTGGCAGAAGAGACGGTATGATCAATACTGGTCAGCTTAGAGGAGCCACACTGCCCCAAGTCAATGCTACAGAGTGTGGACAAAGGGCAAATGAATTAATCCTGGCTGATATACGCAATGTCAGTCTGGATCTCTCTTGAGAGTTTGTGTACAGAATATTCATCAGTTAGTCATGCCACCTTAGAATGAAAATTAGAATCACCAAACTGTGGGTTTTCCAGAAGTATCAGCATCCTGACTTAGAATCAATAGTCTATAAAAATTACTGATTGTGATTTCTATAGGTCACATGCTTACCTATGACAATGAGAACAATAAGAGTGTATGCACTTTGGAGGGAAAAAAAAGTCACAGCCTAAATGGTAGAACGTCCAAACACATAGCCTTTGAATTGTTTCCAGATCATGGTGACCTTCTGTGGGGTTTCTGAGGTTTTAAGTCTCTAGAAGAAGGCTGCCCCTTCTTTCTCCTAAGAAGTAACTAATGGATTTGACTCACCTATCTTTTGGTTAACATCTAACAATTAACATGTGCTATGTCACCAATTTTCCTTATAAGTGGAAATAAAACAGATTTAGAACATTCTGATAATGAGCTGATATTCTAAACATTTATGCACAAGAAATAGTAAGCACATTTGTTAGCATAATTTCTGCATTTACTGTGAGGTGAATAAAAACAAAATAGGTTGATCCTATCACCTGGAAGACCTGTTCATCATTCTATATCTGCCTCAAAATGTCCAGGAAGTCCTTTACTCCTTCCCCAAACTTTCCCTCCTCCTACTCCATATATTGTTCTCTTATATCTGTTTCCAGCCTCAGCATCTTATATCCCAACTATATTACCACCACCCAGACTGGAGTAGGTGCTTAGTAGCAGTTTGCAAGCTGATTAATTTCTAACTTGTTATGTTCCATCAAGTCACCTGAAACTCATAGCCACCTTATGTACAACAGCTTTGAAGCCTGCCTGTCCTGAGCCAATCTCACTGACTCTGACCCACTTGCTCTCATTGTCCCAGTTACTGTATCAATTCATCTCATCTGGCATCTTCTTCTCTTACACCATCCCTCCACCCTTCTCCAAGGATAGGTCCCTCCTGACCACATGCCCAAAGTATGTGAGATGGAGCTTCAAAATCCTAGCCTCCAAGGAGAAACTTGGTTTTATTTTATCTAAGACAGAACTATTAGGGTTTTGTTAGCAGTACATGATATGTTTAAGGCTCTTCTCCAGCATCTCAATTCAAAGGTATCAATTATTCTTCCGTCACCCTTAATCACTGTTCAGCTCTCTGATGTGTAGCAAGTAATTGCAAAGACCATGGCCTAGATCAGGTGCACCTTAGTCTTTAGACTGACATCATTGCTTCTCAGTACTCTGGAGAAATCCCTGACAGCAGATTTTCTCAGTGCATTTTGTCATTTGATTTCTTGACTGCTGGTGCCAAGTGTGTTGGCTGTGGAGTTAAACAAGCTGAAGCTGTTAATAACCTCAAGATTAACATTCTCACCATCTAGTATAGAATGGATTTCACAAGACAATATTAAGCTCACTGAAGAATATATAAAGAAATACCTGTCAACCTGAAGGCAAATGGTTTGAATTTACCAGCTGCTCTGCAGAAGAAAGATGCGCAATCCCTTCCCATGAGATATATTGCTTCTGAAAAGGCTGTGGTATGTCATCTATGAGTTAGTTCTGAACCTCTGGCAATGAATGGTTCTTACTCAGTTGCAGAATTAATCTTATTAACATCTATGCATAAGAGTTCAACAGAACAACTGTTTTTTTAGTGTTCTGTGGAATTCCCTGAGGAAGATAAAATGGGGCAGTAATAGGTTGAATCCTGAATTTTTATTTTGTCCTTATGTTTTGTGTTGGGATTCAAAATAAAAATCAGAGTGAAGCCCTGCATTCTAAATATTGGTCATGAATTAACTAACTCAATTTTTACAACAGTCCTTGGTAGACTTTTCATTTATCCTCACTTTGTATACAAAAAACAATGGCATAGAAAGATAAAGGGAATTTTTCAATGTTATACAGCTAAAAAACCAAAAAAAAACCCCAAACCCAACAAAGAAACCCCAACCCCCCCCTTCAAACTCATTGCTGTTGAGATGGAAAAAAAGAATAGTTACCCTTCCATTATATTACAAAGGTTGCAAATCACACAGGAGGTGCTGGTAGGGTTAGCAATAAAACTTCCTGTGGACCACACCATTGGAGCGAGTAGATGGTAAAAGTGCCACTGACAACAATCTAACCCCACAGCCTCGAGAAGAAAGGAAATTATAAGCCCAAAAGCTGAAATCAATGAGATAGAAAACAGAAGAACAATTGAAACCATCAACAGAATCAGGAGCTGTTTTGTTTGGTTTTTTTTTTTTAAATTTTTTTAAAGGGTCAATAAAATTGACAAAGCATGGGCAAACTTAACAGAAAAAAAAGAAGACATAAACAACTCAATTAAGGAATGATAGAGGTGACATCAAAAAGAAAAAGAGGTAATTAAAACTATAATGTCCAAATATTATGAAAAGCATGGTCTCTGTAATCACTTGTTATGCATCAAAGAGTTGGACAATGACTAGGGAGGAGAGAAGGAGAATTGATGCCTTTGAGCTGTGGTGCTGGAGAAGAGTATTAAGAGTACCATGGACAGCTAGGAAAACAAAACAGATTCATCCTAGAAAGGGTTAAACCGGGTGACTCCTTGGAGGCAAGGATTCTGAGGCTCCATCTAATATACTTTGGACATGTTGTAAGGAGGGACTGGTCCTTGGAGAAGGACATCATGCTTGGGAGGGTGGAGGGACAGCGCAGAAGGGGAAGGCCCTCTATGAGGTAGATTGCTTTAGTAACTAGTGTAATTGGGATGGGAGTGTCAGAGACAGTGCCACTGACACAGGACAGAGCGGAGTTTAGGGCTGTTGTACATAGGGTCGCTATGAGTTGCAAGCGACTCGACGGCACATAACAACAACACAACATACTCTGATATATTTGACAACTTAGAAGAAATGGTCAGATTCCTTGAAACTCATGCCCTACCCAGATTGAAATGGGCAGATATAGAACACTTGAACAGACCCACCACAAAAGGAGAAATTGAGTCTATCATAAAAAGGCTTCCCCACAAAAAAATTTCCAGACCAAATAGCTTCACAGCTGAATTCTATCAAACATTCAGAGAAGATTTGTCACCAATTCCACTTAAATTATTGAAAAAAATAGAAAAAGAACAAACACTCCCAGCGATATTCTATGAAGCAAGCCTAACTTTAACACAAAAACCAGGAAAAGATATCACCATAAAAGAAAACCAGAGATGAATATCTCACGATTATAGATGCAGAAATCTTTAACAAAATGCTAGCCAATAAAATCCAAAAGCACATTAAAAAAATAATTCATCATGACTAAGTGGGATTCATAACAGGTATGTAAGAATGGTTCCACATGAAAAAAATAATGTTATTTACCACATTACTCAAACAAATAACAAGAACCACATGATCTTAGAAAATGATGCAGAAAAGGCATTTGACAAAATCCAACATCCTTCCTAATTGAGACACTCAATAAAATTGGAATATCAACTGATATTCAACAAGGAAATAAAACTTATCGAATGAGTAAATTACAACCTCTTCAACAAATGGTGCTGGCAAAACTGAACTGCTACCTGCAGAAAGCTGAAACAGGATCCACCTCTCACACCATACACAAAAAATCAACTCAAGGAGGATCAGAGACCTGAGCGTAAAGCCCAAAAGCATAAAGCTCATAAGAGACAAACTGGAATCAAGCTTAGAAGGTCTAATCTAAAGAGATTGACAAAAACTTGCAGAAATGAACAATCTGGAGAGGATAAAATTATAAATAAAACCTTCTAAAGATTAAATCTCTGTGCTTAAAAAAACTTTTTCAACAAGGTGAAGAGAAAACCTGACTGGGAACAAACATTTGGTAATATCATGATAGACAAGGGTCTTATAACAAAAGTGTACAGAATATTCTGGCTTCCAAAAGAAATAGACTGGTAACAAAATTTCAAAATGGGCAAAAGACACAGAAAGACTTTTCATAGAGGAAACCATTCCAGTGGCCAAGAGGCATATGCAGAAATGTTCAAAATCACTGACAGTAAGAGGATGCGAATCAAAAACACCATGAGATACTATCTTACCCCAGCAACAGTGGGACAGTTTTAGCAGGACAGAAAGTAATAAATGTTGGAGAGGATGTGAAGAGTTGGGAACTCTCATACACTGCTGGTGGGATTGTAAAATGGTACAACCACTCTGGAAGAAAGTTTGGCATTTCTTCATAAAATTGAACATAGAAACTCCATATGGCCCAACTATTCTGCTACTAGGAATAAACCCCAAGGACACAGCAGAACTACTCACCATCACAACAAGGAGACTCAAAATGTCCAAATACAACTGACTGGATTGAGATAGTTTATGGTACATTCACACAGTGGAATACTATGTAGCATTTAGGAGCAATGATTTCACACACACACACACACACACACACACACACACACACACACCACACTACATAACTTCAGAGAGACTGGAAGTCATTATGGTGAGTGAACTAACTCAGCCTCATAAAGACAAATACTGCATAAGACCATTACTGTAAAACTAGAAGGATAACTAGTAAAACATGGATGGGGACGAAAGAGAGGAAGAGGGAAAACAGAGGGGTAAGGATGGGTAGGGGCTCAAACCACAAGATTGCACCATTTGGTGGGTAGAGGCATGGGGTGAAGGAAATGGGAAGCATCCAGTGGGGACCTCCTAAGTTTGGGTAATGATGGGTAAGGTCCAATGTTGATTGGTTTTATAAGAAATAATGAATGGGAATGATTGTATGAAACACAAT